CAGTGAACTTTTCTAGGACTTGTCAGTGCTGATATTTTTTTATGTTTATATATATCCATTGATATTATCCATTGCCTTATGACATTTCTTATATATCTACTACTGCATATTATTTAATTTCCCATGTATGTGCCTAACACTCTAATGGCAATTGTAAGATCCTTAAGGTCAGTATCTACATATTGAATGCCTCATTATCTCCTGTAGAAAATGCAGTATTTCTGTTGAATACAAAAAGGGAATATGGCAAGATGGAACTGAGACTGGAGATGATTATCCACATTATTCTCTCTCATTTCCTATTTCCATATACAGTACACTTGACTATCTACACATTCTAGAGCATTAAAAAATCAACTCGGTGCCAACATACTATAAAATATACAAAATTCTGCACAAGAATAAATGTGGACTGAGAAAAGCTCTGCAAAAGAAAATGCCACTTATAGGAATAACATCACCTCTCCTGTAAGCCTGTCAAACTTTCCTCAAAATCTGACCCAACAACCTTTTTCAGGAGCCCTTTTTATTTAATGTCCCTAGCTTTTTATTATTCTTTTAAACTGCATTATAGTAGCAAAACATCATTTCATTTTATATTGTCATTTTATATTTATAGAGGTATTTCATATATATTTTATAGTGCTTTCTATATGATCTCTCTGTGCATATAAAACTTAAGCTCCTCAAGGGCCAATAGAGTCTTCCTGTAGGAATAAGCTACACATGGACTTGAAATAGCAAAATACACAGCCATTGTTCTTCAATATATTGATATACTAATGAAACAACTGATGCTATTAAAATGATGATCTTCAAGTCTAAGTAATAATTTTGACCTTGAGTAATTTTTAATATGTCTCATATTTTCCTGTTTACTTATCTTCTGTGAGGTATGGGAAAAGCCATCATGATTATACTAAGTTAATTAGTGGGAAAATGGATTCTGAAAAGCAATTCTCCCTGTGAACTGAAAATAGTAGAGGGTCTTTTAATAACCAGTCTCTCGAAGAGTACTTTCTGTTCTTCTCTTTTCAGTAGTGGTAATAATGCTCACTAATTATAACTAAATATCCTTAATAGGTTTAGAGTTATCATATGTGGCTAAATTGCAGGGAGGTAAGAAAGACCTTCAGCCTCTGTATAGACTATTCAGTCATTTAGTTGGGGTTAGTACAAGGAATGTGACTCACTTTATTCCCCAGGATGGCACTTCTAGATAATGAAAGAAATTACTTGAGGGGCCAGAATTAAAGTAAGCAGGATCATATTTATTAACAAAATTTGAGAAACAAAAAGGTCAAATTAAATTTGTTTCCTTGAAATAAGGTTGCTTGCAGTGCCCAGGCCGCCATACTATTTAAGTAATCCGGCTGGATGCAGACAATAGCAGTGGGGGAAGTGGAGGCCAGATTGAGAACAAAAGGAAAAGTGTCTCCTGAGTGCTTTACCTAATTTTTGTCTTGAGTGAATTCAAATATCAGGAAAGTCAGATAGCTCAATTTTTATTCAAAATTTTCAAAATTTTATATCTGTATATGGCAAAGAAAATATAACTATGGGAAACATTTGTTTGCAGTAATTTAGATCTACCTGCTGCTGAAGATAACTAGGAAGTGTGGAATATACTCGCACACACATACGGAATTTACATATACATGTATATATAGAGACATATATATATAT